TTCAGTTGTCTCCCTCTCCCTCATTCCCATTGTCACTGCCCAAATTCAAGCTACGTGAACTTCCTAGTCCATAGTGACAGTACTTGACCTGGTCTCCCTGCTATCAGTTTTTCCACTCTTCCATCTTTCTTCCATATTCTATTAAATAAATCTTATAAAACATGGATCTGTTTTTGGTACACCCTATTGAAATACATCAATGGCTGTCTCTTAACAGCTATGAAAAAATCTTCAAAGTCTCAAAGTGCCACTTAAGTACCTTCCAAATTATTTCTAAGGAATGAGGCCCCTTCACAGCCCCTCATCTCCATTATGAACTATTTACCTTTCCCTCAACATGTCATTTCTTGTCTTGCATTTTCGTGTCTCTTTTGCTTCCTATATTTGGCTCACCTTTCTACCAACTCTCTGCCTAATGAAATCTTTTAAGGCATGGTTCAAATTTCATTCTTTTTGTGAACTCTTGAATTCTTGCCTTCCATGTAGTTTTGATTTCCACCCAATGCACCTCCTATTCAGACCCCACTCATTGGTTAGTGATGGCTTGTGTGTTGCTATGATGCTAGATTAAGATGGATTCGGAAGAAAGGCTGGACAATCAAACTTCCAAAAATCATATAATGAAAATCTTATAGTTCCCAATGTTCTGGTCAGCAGTTGATGAAGGGAAGGGTACAATTACAGGTAGCATTTTTTTTCCATTATGGTTGGGCAGCTAAGAATAGTATGACACCACTTAATGTACTGAATTGCTAGGATGTATGAGTCTGGGAGATTCGGTGATTCAAGGAGTTTGCAATTGGCTGGTGTAATGTAAAGTGCTGGGGACAGCATACGCAGACCCTGGGTTGATCAGTGGCAGCCCCATTAAACTACCTCTAAATATAATCAGTTTAACCCAGATGCTCTCCTTCCTCCTGAAAGTATATAGGAATATTAAGACAATGTAGCATTTTAGGTATAGATAAATGAAGCCCGGTGCCTGAGATCTTGCTCACAAACAAAAGTTTGCAAAGTGTACAGAGACAGCTTGGCTCCTTTCAGGAACCTTGCTTTATGTTATGTATCCTTACGAAACTGCACGTTGCTACTCTAGATCATTTAAGCCTAAAAGTTAATATTTAACAGCTTGATTGAACCTTTTTTTTTCTGTAAAAATAAAAATGTTAGATTGTTAAGAAAAACTATGAAAATATCTTAAAAGTTGTTCCTGTGAATCATTATGTCCTGTTTTGAATGATTAATCACATTTCAGTTCCGTATCCTGTCTTAATCACATCCTCCCTTTGTGACATCCTCCCTGAGTGAATTACATCCTTCCTTTGTAACAAATCCCTCCCTAAAAAAGAGAATAAAAGGCTGAGGTAAAGTGAGTTATGCGTGCAATGCTGTGCAATGCTGGGCAATGCTAGGCAATATGTTTGCAGATCTGTCTACCTGCCAGCTTGCATCGTATCTGTGTGTCTGTCTTTTTTGTATATATTTCATCTCTCTCTTTCTCTATCACTTTCACCACCAGATCTCACTTCTTCGTGACACCCACACTTCCTTGTCTAAGCGGGACCCCGAAATAGGACCTCGACAGTAAAGGCTGATGGTTTGATACTTCCTCCTATCCCACCCCTCACCCCACCTACCCTTAACCCAGCAGAAGAAACGCCATGCAAACTCTTTCTGCAGAGATTACAATTAAGAAATTCTTATAACTTGAAATCTACTTGAAGGCAACAGCAGGTTTTGTCTTGGTTTTGGTATGAATCTGTCTGTCTTGTCAAAGGATAAGCATTTGGAAGACAAGGTCCTTGTTCTTTTAAGCATTGAATATCTATGTTCATTTTAAAGTCAAGCAATCAGTGAATGATATTTTATACTTCAGGATACTGTAAACAGAATGGTAGTTCTGAGATAAAAAAAAAATCAGCTACTTGATTTTATTATTTGAATCCTAATTGATATTTCTTCAGTTTAAGAATTTATATCTTAATCAAAACTCTATATAACTTTTCAGAAGTAGTATTTGAGTGTTAATGTTCCTAATTTGTTGTATAATTCTGTGTTGTTGTTATTGTGAAGTGCTATTGAGCGGGTTCCAACTGATAGTGGCCCTGTTTATGGTTTTCCAAAATTGTAAATAAGGAGCTCTGGTATCGTAGTAGTTACGAATTGGGCTGTGAACCGCAAGGTAAGCAGTTCGAAACTACCAGCTGTTCCGTGGGAGAAAGATGAGGCTTTCTGCTCCTGTAAAGATTTACAGCCTAGGAAACCCTGTACAGGGTCGCTGTGAGTTGGAACCAACTCCATGGCACATAACAGCAACAACAAAGTTGTAAATATCTGTGGATTACAGTATGGCTGTTGGGTTCAAACAAATGACCTTGTGGTTTGCAGTCCAGTGATTATCCTACAGAGCCACCATGTTTTTTTTTGAGACCTTGCAGGTTCTAAGACAGCAAGCTTTTAGAGTCTGGATGTCAAGTGTAATTTAGAAAATTACACTTGATATGCAGCCTCTAGATGGCAGATAGTCACAGTCTGTTGGTCATTTCTTATTTTATTATCTCTTAATAGGTTGTATTTGTTGAAGTTTTGTAAACATAAACATTTATATTTTGAAAGTGTTATAAAAGGTAATAATTTTACACACAATTCTCCAGAATTAGAAATAATTAGCTTAATAAAAAAATCTTATATGCTGTTCTATGGCTTCAAAAGCATTTTAGGTTATATGCACACATTTGTAAGCATAAATGAGGAGAAAATAAACGTCTTGAAACATATGAAAATAATTAAGACATTTTTCAATTAGAAATTGAAGTTGAAAATATAGCTTTTCCTGTAACGAACCACTGATTTTCAAATGTGGTAGACTGTTATTTTTATAAAGATCTCTGGTCAATTAAAATATTAATAGGTGCTGCTATCTTACACATCTGTTGCTAATGATTAATTATTTTTCTTAGATCTGTGATTCTTTGTTGGAGAAATTAGTGAAAATATCATATATAAATTAGAGCATTTCTACAAAGCAAATATGTTGTTGTTGTTAGATGCCCTTGAGTGGAAACTGACCCATGGTGACCTTATGCACAACAGAACGAAATACTGTCTGGTCCTGTGCGAGTCTCACAACCATTTCTATGCTTTAGCCCATTGCTGATGCCACTGGAGCAGTAAGGGTATAAAATACAACGGTAAGTTAAAGAAGTATTAGTGCTAGAATTCCAGTTCATACATGCACAGGTTTATTCCAAGCAAAATGTGTTGAAATGTTTTGCTAAAAAACAGTCTAATCAAAACAGTGGCATCTGAAGGGATCTGTTGGGCTGGTTCAATTCAAGGCAGAATGAATGGTCCATTCAGAAGATTATGGTGATTGTTTTATGGGACTCCCAAGGGGGGGTGAGCTTAATAGATTTTCTCAAAGGACATAGGACAATCATGGGGATTTATTATATAGAAATTTTAAGATAATGGAAAATTCAGTGGTGAGAAAAAGTTCAGGGAACTTGTGCCCAAGAATTTTTTTCATGCACAGATCATTCTTTGAGGGTTGCAAGGGTTGGCCTATGTGAATCTCATAGGGAAACCTCTCATATTCACCCTACAGCCCTGACCTTGCCCCTCCCGACTTCTTTTCGTTCCCCAAACTCAAAGGACATTTAAAATAAATGCTATTTGAGTCTCCTGTAGATGCCCAAACTGCCACCTTGATGTGTTGTGAATCAGAGTTTGGAAACACTACATTTAGATGTGTATAGACCTAGGTGAAGGATATGTGAAGAAAAAATAGCTTCACATTTTGATATTTTGTTTAATAAAGGTTTGTATGATTTTGTAGCAATACTTTTTTGACTTACTCGAATATTTCTTTCAAAATACCAAGCTTTCATTCATTCTGGAGTAAATGAACACAGTTCATTAAAGGAAAATCTCCGAGAAAATGAAATAAAAACAACTAAGTAACAGTTTTACCTCTTTGAAAATAATGTGTAAGCTTAAGACAACAGATTAAATGTATCTTGGATAGTTTTACTGACTTATTTTTCATGGTAGCTGTCAAATGTAATCAGTTGTGAAGATTTTGTTAACAAATATCAGAATATCATATAATTTTGCAAATTAGTAGTTTTCCGATAGCTTAACAGAGACTTTCAGATTGAATATGTCAAAACAATAAGCAAAGACATCAATGGAATAAATTCATTTCCTGGCATTCAGAAGTATTTAAACTATTTATGAGCTGAGCTGAGCTGAGCTGAGCTATCATCTCATGTACAGATAATAGTTTGGTTCTAAGATTTTAATTTTCTATTCCTGCTTTAAAATTTCACCAAATCTTATTTAGAAACAGATTTATGGTATACTTCTGTATCTCAAGAAAAATAAATCCTGTTCATCTTAAAGTATGAATATTCAGATCATTTCATAACCTTTGCTGTGAGAATAGAAAAGTAATTTCATAACTACTGGTACCTCACTGTCACTGAATTAGCAATTATTACACTGCTGGCCTATATACAGGATTTCATTTAAAGGAGTTAATTATTGAAGCACTGAAAATACCTCAGATGAAGCCTGCTTTACTGTACAGACAGATATGACATGGGTCTAAAATTTGATGACAAAGTCCTGGTACAATTCAAAAAGAAAATAATAAAATATAAGAGGGTTTAAAAAAATATTTTAAACCATACACTTAGATAAGGAAAATATGTCTCAATTAAATAATGATGTTAATTAGAAGAAGGAAAATAGAAAATTAGGAATCAAAAATAGAATTACTGGAATAACACTGTTGCTGTTGTTGTTAAGTACTGCTGAATCAGTTCTGACTCATAATGACCCTATATAGGGTTTCAAAGAACAGCCGGTGGGTTTAAACCACTAACCTTGTTGTTAGCAGTCCAGTACTTATCCTACAGTGCATACCAGGACTCCATAATAATATTAGAAATAATGAAAATAAACCAACTGTATCAGATAAGAACATGTTAACTTACAGTTGTTGTATAAGCAGCTTCTGGATCATCTTCCAGCACCCGGGAGAGTCCAAAATCAGAAACTTTGCATACTAAATTGCTGTTGACCAATATATTCCGAGCAGCTAGATCCCGGTGAACATAACCCATATCAGAAAGATACTTCATACCCGATGCAATGCCTCGGAGCATACCAACCAACTGGATGACTGTGAAGTGGCCATCATGTTTCTGCAAAAGAATCACAATTGTTTAAATTAATTGATTTTAATGTATTTATATGTGTGCATTTATTAGTAGAGTTCCTGGGTGGTAAAGATAGTAATTACTCTCAGAAACTAGCCAAAAGGTTGGCAGTTCGAGGCCATCCAGAAGTGCCTTGAAAGAAAGGCGTGGAGATACACTTCTCCAGTTAGTTTCTGCCATCAGGTCAACTCTGGTTCATGTACAACAGAATAAAAATTTAGCAATTGGAAACTCTACTTCACACAGTTCTATTCTGACACACATGAGGATCCATGAACCAGAATCAACTCAATGGCATCTAGTTTATTTCTTTGCTGGTGGATGTGTATGAGTGTGTGTGTGTGTGTGTGTGTGTGTGTGTGTGTGTGTGTTGTATTAAATAAGAACCCTTGGGTCTATTTTACTGTATTAAGTGAAGGAAACCAATGAGTTTTCTGACCATTGACTTTACTTACAAAGAATGTAAAATTACTTTGACATTAAAATAAAAAATAATTTCAAAAGCAAGAAACTCTAGCTGGGAATGATCGGGGAGCACAAAGCAAAGAACAAAGCATTGAAAGAAAGTATAATCTCAGAAAAAATATTTCAAAAATTTAGGCAACAATTAGGGGGGCACTAAAGTCTGATAATGTAAAGAGCAAAGACTACCAAGAAAATAGAATCTACTTTCCTGAACTATGAGCACCGAACCATCCATACAAGTGGGCAGTGGAGCAGTAGTAGATTGGATAAAGGCCTGAGTAGTATTTCACTGAAAATCCAATGGATTTATTGGAAGGGAGAAGAAAAGGTGACTGCATGGACAAGAAGCAAGGGGATAGAGAATAAAAAACAAACAATAATCCCACAAACAAACAAACATTAACAAACATAAAATAGCTAAATGATCTCTATTTTCCATTATATAGAACAAATACAAAGAGACGTTGGCAATTGCTTGAAAAAGGGACTGTGATAAGACAATTTTAGCTTTTGGTTGAGAAAATTAAATATTATGAATAAGGAACCTGGCACAGTGATTGACAGTAGGAGTCATTTCTATCTTATCCCTTCTACTTTGACTAAAAAAAAAAAAAAAATGTACAGTTGACCCTTGAACAACTCAGGAGTTAGGAGCACTGACCCTTGCACAGATAAAAATCTGTATCTAACTTTTGACTGCTCCAAAACTTAGCAACTAATTGTCTTACTAGAAGTCTTACCAACAGCATAAAGAGTTGATTAATTTCTATTTTGTATATGTGGCACTGTAGGAAAAGCACTGGACTGCTAACTGCCAGGTCGGTGGTTCAAACCCACCAGTTGCTCCTCAGAAACTCTACATAGAGTCACTATGAGTTGGGACCGATTCAAATGCACTTACCAACAACAAAATATTTATATACTGCACTCACATAAAAGCTACATTTTCAATATGAGATAAAAAAAAGGTATTTCATAAAAAAAACTCAAGGTTTTAACTCCTACTGTGGCTTTTTAAATTTCCTTCCCACCCACCCCCACTTTTTTTTTCCCCTTTCCCCACAATGGTCCCTATGCTGAATTCATTATCTTGAAATGGCAGGCAACCACAGCTTTAAACTCAATCTATAGTACATGTAAACACAATTTCACTTCTTCTTGTAATGTCATGACTTTACTATGCTTCCTGGGACCATAGTATCACTATATCACATTATATGGGTCCCATGGTGTTATTCAAGGTTTATGGTATTGCACTAAACATGATGAAAAGTTTGTTAAGAATCACGCTATACCACTTTTTACTATAATATACAGTTTACTGGAGGGACAGACTGCTCACATGAAAATGATTAGTGTCACATGATGTTTTACAAAGATTCACATATAAGTGGACACAGACAGTTCAACCTCACATTGTTCAACTATACTTATTTTGAAAGGAAAAAAAAATCACATTGTCATCCTGTAAAATGTATGCATCGACAAGATCACATACAAATGACATCTTTAAATTAGAGAAAAAAAATTAAATCAGAAAAATATAACTCTCTTAAATACAATATTAAAACAATTAAGTAGTATGTGTAGCATAGTATGCTACACATACTACTTAATTGTTTTAATATTGTATTTAAGGGAGTTATAGAGCAACATGAACAATTCTTAAGATGTTTTTACATATCAGGTGATATTTATTAGTGACATTAAAAATGAATACTTAAAACACATAGGACTGTACAACACAAAGACTGAAACCTATTATAAACTGTAGACTTTAGTTAACAATTATTATTGGTGGTGGTTGGTTTCAACTCACAGCGACCCTGTACAGGGTTTCTGAGGCTATAAATCTTTACAGGAGCAGAAAGCCTCATCTTTCCCTCATGGAGCAGCTGGTAGTTTTGAACTCTTGACCTTGAGGTTAGCAGTCTGACTCGTAATCACTATGTTACCAGAGCACCTTATTATTGTTAGGTGGCATCAAGTTGTCTCAGACTCATAGCAAACTCATGGATAACAGTATAAAATGTTGCCTCCTCTTGCACCAACCTCAGAATCAATGCTATGTTGAGCCCATTGTTGTGTCAACCCATCTCTTTGAGGGTCTCCCTCTGTTTTGCTGACTTTCTATTTTACTTAGCATGATAACCTTCTCCAGTTATCTGGTCACTTCTGATAACTTTTCCATAGTAAGGGAGCTAAATCTTGTCAGCCTTGCTTATAAGTTGGATTTTGGCTGAATTTCATCTGGGACAGGGTTGTTCATTTTTCTGGCAGTTATGGTATATTCAATACAGAAACTCAAATCCATCAATTTTTTGGTTTTCCTTTTTTATTGTACAGCTTTCACATGCATATGAGTTTAAAAAGTACCATGGTTTGGATCAGGCACAGCAAAGTCAGCAAAGTGACATTTTTGCTTTTTACACTATAAAGAGGTCTTTTGCAGCAGATTTGCCTAAGATCATAAATCACTGGATTTCTTGACTGCTGCTTCTATGGGTGTTGATTATTGATCTAAGAAGAATTAAATCCTTGACAATTTCAATTTCTTTACCATCATGATGTTGTTTATTGGTCCAATTGTAAGGATATTTGTTTTCTTTATATACAGATATAATCCAAGCTACACTTTTAGTCTTTCACCTTCATTAGTAAGTGCTTCAAGTTAATAATAATGTATCAATAATGGTTCAAAATTATAATAAATGTACCACAGGAATGTCAATAGAAGAAAGAATATGTGTGGTGGGGGAGACATATGGGAACTGTTTATACTTTTTGCATGATTGTTATATAAACTTAAAATTGCTTTAAACAGTAAAAACACAAAAAATCATAAAACCATTGCTATCGAGTCAATTTCAACTCATAGTGACCTTATAGGATAGAGTAGAACTTCCCCAAGGCTTTAAATCTTTATGAAAGCTGGCTACTATATCTTCCTTCCTTGGAAGTGATTGGTGGGTTTGAATCACCAACCTTTTCTTTAGCAGTCGAGCATGTAACCATTGTAAAACTCAGGCTACTACAATAAAGTCTATTAAATGAATAAATGAAAATGAATAGTAAGAAAATAAAGGATTATATTACCTTCTTTAATATGGTAAAAAAATAATAGCATCTTAAAATTCTTTGAGTTAAAACTGTTCTGATTTATAAACCATAGATTAGTTTAGGCACAGAGATTATCTAACTCTACTTTTGTCATAGTGACACAATCTGCTATACAGCAATGATTCACTGGTCATTTAAATGAATATGTTTATATAGTTATTCCTCATTTATCAACATGGTTAGGTTTCAAATCAGCTTGTTATGCAACATTGATGTTATGCAAAATGGAAAATAATCATATCAGATCACAAAACAAAGGATGATTATATCATTACATAACTTCCAAATTACATCATTACATCACTGTTACAGTACATCATTACATAACTGCCAAACCACTGAGAATCATGGTCCAGCCACGTTCAGACATAACCTTAACCATCACAGATAGTGTTAATCTTGCTGCTCCAGACATGTTCAGACATAACCTTAACCATCACAGACAGTGTTAACTTTGCTGCTCATATTTTGTAACTACCAGACATATGTTGTTAATGTACAAAATAGTAGGATAATAGTTTTTTTTTTTTACTATTATAGTAAATGGGAAATGTCAAATCTCAAGATAGTTGATAAGTGAAAAGGTGTACTACAAATGAAATAAACTTTGTCTTACTATATCAAATTATCTCCCTGATGTTGCTGAGGGCCATCAAGTCAGATCCAACTCATAGCAGTGTTGTATAGGGTCTCCAAGTGTCTCTTCTAGCCATAGTCTGTAACTCCCACCAAACAACGTTTCTGCCCTGCTGGGTCAGGTTAAAAGAAGGTTGGAGAAGATACTGATAGGCTGACATGATTCAGCTGTGGCTATTGTTGTTGTTAAGTGCCGTCGAGTTGATTCCGACCCATAGCGACCCTACATAGCATTTACAAGGAGCAGCTGGTGAGCTTGAACCACTGACCTTGCAGTTCAAACGACTTTGCAGTCTGACGCATTTGCCCACAGAGCCACACCAGGATATTAGCAGAGTTAAATGTAACTATAAAAAATTGAAACTGTAGTGGTGGTGGTGGTGGTATGCTTTTGAGTCAGTTGTGAATCATAGAGACCCTGTTTCCAAGGCTATACATTTTTATGGGAGCAGAAAGTCTTATTTTTCTCCCATGGAGTATCTGGTGGTTTTGAACTGCTGACTTTGTGGCTAGTAGCTCAATGCATAACCCACAACACTACCAGGAATCCTTTGAAACTCTAGTCTGAATATAAAATGAACCATCTCAGAAACAGAAAGGGGGATCTCACTACTATCCAAGAAGAGCCAGGAGTGGAGCATATCCTTTGGACAACAAGATTCCTATACGTTGAATCTCCTCAACCCAGGGACAGAAAGCTGTGACACCCGGGAGTGGCAGAGGAGCAGCAGCAGAGCTAAGTCAGAGCATCAGACTAAGCAGTG